TACATGGAAATACTTAACTGAGTAACAAATCGTATGTGTGTGAGTGTGTATGTATGTATGCATGTGTGAGAGATTGATATGAAGGAATAAATAAAGTTCAAGTTCAAGGATGAAAAACTTGATAATGAAAGATAGATGTGCATGTCAAAACATAAATTGTACTGTTTAGAAACTCATTCAGTTCTTTCAATAATAATAACGATGCATGTGATATTAAAAAACAGGTTTAAACAAGAGATAGGTTCCAAATTTACTTGTCAAACGAAATTTGCCAGGTAGTTGCCATTTGAATACCATCTTTTCGGTTCAGGCTGTTCTTGTTCGCCCATATATGCAGAGCTTCTGCTGTCAATCTTTCTTTATGGGTGTTAAAACCTTTCTGAAGTATTTTGGTCCCTTCAAAATTAATCTTGTGTCCTGTTTCTAACGCATGTAACGCTATCGCTGACTTATTTTCAAGTTTCTTTAAATCTACCGAGGATTTGGAACATTTTTCAAGCATTGTTTGTGTTCCTTCAATCTTACATTTAATTGCCTGGATGTTTCTCCAACATAGGTAGCATTACAGTCATGACAGTGAATCTCATACACAATGTTCTGTTGTTCTTCCTTTGCTAACTTGTCCTTAACTTTCACCAATGTCGATCTTAATGTGTTATTTGCTCTAAAATACACTCTTATATCATGTTTGTTTAGAATCCGTTTGATTTCTTCTGATGTTTCACTCCGGTAAGGTATGACTACGGTGTACTTCCATTCTTTTCGTATACTTTCTAGTTTAGTTTTTCTTTCATTTTTAATAATCTTTTTTAAAAACCTTTTTGGGTAGTTGTTATCCCTAAGAGTAGAAAATACTTTATTTAATTCGGTTCTTTGGTCTTCCTTGTCTGTAACAATCTTAGTACTTCTGTTCATTAGATTTTTCACTACATTAATTTTCGTGCTCTGTGAATGGGCTGAATTAAAATCCAAGTATCTCTCGGAATGCGTTGATTTTCTGTAAACATTTATTTTTAAATCAACACCCAAATATGATTGGTTTAACACAGTATAATCCTGATTGTTAAAAGCTATATATTTCTTTGATAATTTTGATTTTGATTATTACCCTGAAGAAGTCCAGACAAGTTAGCTGGACGAAACGTTGGAATTAGTTATATTTCAATCGCTGAGAATATTTCAAATATAATTTTCACATATAATAACAGTGACAATAGTTACAATGTTTAGCAGGATTTCTAGCAATCTGACAGTAAACACTAGTACTTAAATGTTGTTGTTTTTAGGACTGCAATTAATCAGTCTCATATTGGCATATGTGCATCCTGTGAGAATTGACTTGATATTGCCTTTATTCACAAACATGATGGATGGTGGTTAACAGTGAAATCCAGGACAGCCGTTTCGTCTTATTTGTGACTCTTCAGCTAAATGTTCCTGGATCACATATTTGATGTTCACTCCAGTACTCGAAACTAGTACCGTTCGCTTCAAACGCCATCCCTTATAAAGCATGTGACTTAAGTCAATATCTAGGCAATCCACACAGAATACACGTATACCAATAAGAGACAATTAAAGTCCTAAAACAACAATGGGAAGATACAAACAAACAGTACTAAGTGAATTTAAACCTCACCCCATAGCACAATCATGTGACCATCAGGACTCAGTAGCTAAGCGGATAATGCGAATGGTTCTAGATTCGAGTTTTGGTGTGAACTACAGCCCTGAGATACAAATACATCCAATCGATGAGTCCTAAATAGGACGAAACGTATGTTTTAGATTTCAATACTAAACACTATCCAACTTTGTTTCTAAACAATATACTTATTCATTCCTATAAGCATTCATTAAGTAAAACAATCTTATATAATCAGTCAGGGGTTCCATGGAGATTTTAGAAATTTCAATAGTTCAAATCATGAATCGATTGAAGTTAGACCACTTGTATTCAAAACTCGCGGGGAGCGGGATCGTGGATAGGTACTGTCACTGAGGAGTCCCACACTAGGACGAAACGGCCGTCCAATGATTGCAAGTTTTTCATGGTAGTCTAACTTCAATCGATTCATGATTTGAACTATTGAAATCTTATATCAGTTTAAATGATTTGAGTTCAGGTTTATGCAAATGATTTGGATTGGTTGATCTTTTTTTAACCAATCACAGTTTGAGTAAAGAAATGGGAGAAAAACAAATTTCTTCTCATAAAATATTATATTTTACATAATTTATTTATTCTAATTGTACTATGTACGTTATCATATACACTGTCACTATAAACATTTGATTATCCTATTACTATTTGGACTAGATTAGTTGTTATTAGAGAAGTAAGTGAAACTCATATCCATGTAATGATATTCATTTTATGGTTTAAAACATCAAATGAGTTTAAGAAGCATTGATTAATTATTTCTCTTTTTGTTCTGCAGTAAGGAATCGTGACGATGATTCTGGAAATTGAATTCAGGACCTTAAGTCTCATTTGCGAACGATTAAACTCTAGAACATTGAGCTAGGATTCAATAGCATTAGTGTCTACAACCCTTATCGATTTTCCTTGATGGATAATTGTCTCACTTCTGACACATATAGAACTCTACTAGTTATGAATTTATACTTGAACTCCTGAGGACCATCACCAATGAACTTATGATATATATCTGTTTAATGAATGAAGGAATAATATTTGTGGAGGTTACTGGATGTAACATAGGTCAATGCATAATATTATTGACATTCGATAATTTTGGCAAACCAATACACTGATAATCAGTAATCAATATTTCTTCAATTCTTGATTAATCACATATCTTATACAGTCAGAGACGTTACGAATGAGCTATCCGGGCGGCGACTGACCTCCTATAGGACTGAGATGTAATCACAATTGAATGATCACTGAATGGTGATCAATGTCATGTGTGTCAAGTCAAGTCAAGTGAAGCTGGATGACACGGGATCGAATCCGTCGGGGAGCACTAGTTACATCAAGATTACAGGTACAGCTTGCTTGAAGAGTGCCATGTAACATGAAACCCGGGTTCAGGGTTTCTTGTCGACTACCTCCAACCACCATCTAATCTCAATATATAGTGCACGCAGTGTCGAGTCACCTAGACTGGTGGCCACATTGCAACATGGTCGATAGCATTCGATCTGCACTAATAATAAGGACTTGACACACGTGACATTGATCACCATCCAGTGATCAATCAATTGTGACAGTTGTGCTTATTGTGCACAAATAGAAAAATATTGATTTTTTGAAAACTTTTTCAAGTTTATAGAGTAAATAGAATGTGAATTACATTAAGACTCAGGATCTATATTTCATCCTATTTAGGATATTTTAGTTGGATATACCTGTATTATAGAGTTGATATTCACTTTGAGATTTGATCTACTTTGAATTATGTTGAATCTAATTAACATATACAAACATCAACTGAAAGACAAAACGTTTTCAAGATGATTAGATCTTGTGTTTATTATAATGATTTCAGTAGATCGTTCGAGCAATTTGTTGATAGTGTATCGTAAAGTATCATAAATGTGTATCAAAAACATATACACTTTTTTTTATTAAGTTCCATTGAATACAGATGTCATATACTTGTCGAAGAAGTGCAAAGATAGATTGATTTGCCCCCAAACGCCCTAGTACGGCTGAAGATAGAGAGAGTCCGCTCTCCCTCCTCAAATGCTCTCATACAGCTACGTGCATACAACCACTGACAACGAAGTCTTACTCATTGCCTTCTCGCAAAGGGGGCGTTGTTTACGAACTTGAGAGGACGAAAACCGAATGTCCATCTCTTTAACCGGGTTGGTGCAGGATCGATCTAGGACAGTTGGAAACTCTCGTTCCAAACCAATGGTGTACATGGACTCTAGGATCCGAAGGAAACAAATGGCGTATGAACCAGTCGTTGGTCATCAACTACCATGAGACTGTATCACCTAACGTTGCTTCACTGCCTTATGGATTAGATTTTCAGATCAAAGGCTCTGGGTGTGGTCTATTGAGAAAACTACCTGCTTCGGTTCGGGCACCCGGATAGTATCATAGCCCATGCATAAATCAAGTGAATCGTGTAGCGCATATATATTCAGTGCTCTTTTATACCAATATTTATGTGTACAAATAAAATGGTTAAATGCACAAATTGAAGAATTGTCAAAGGATTCGTCAAATTTTTATTTCCTCGTTTAAGCATCTGAAAACTGAAACTTTGTCCCAGATATTCAATGATACGAATGATTTCCTTTTCAAGCTTGAACAAGGTTTCATTTACTTAAAGAGGAAAAAATGGGGGTGGTTTTAGCAGGAATACTCTCGAAAATATCAATTACAAAGATGACTGGGATCGACACCACTGTTGTTGTAATGATATTTATGTCAGAATTGGATATAAAGTAATACTTTGGAAACATAAATAATGTAATTATTATTTGTACAACTATACTGTACCATCTTATCAACTATGTGGGATTCAATATTGAAGGATCTTTTGAGATCTTCATCAAACAATATCTCCTTAGAAGTTCATTTCATGTACTTCGTCTAGGATAACAGTGAAAGCTTTACAATCGAAACTATTCATTCGGGAGTGCGCGACATCATAAGAGGTATTCATTTGAGCTGCAAATCTATTCTGTCCTTTTAAAATACTTTACGTCCATATTCAGCTACTAAACATTCATATATATCCTCCAATTGAATGCAGTTATTTTGCGAACTCTTAAGAAAAAGTTTACTATGTACAGAGTATTTACCTTTTGATGGAGTTTTGTTCTCTGAGCTGGATAGTTTGGTCGTGGAGCTTTCATTGTTCTTCTTGAACGACATCATCAACACAAACTTCAGGTAGAAGTAAATTAATTCATGAAAAAAAGAATCTTCTAGAAAATTTCAATCAATTAAACAATCTCATCATCATTTAATGAATCAATTAGATCATTAAAAGCGGATTTTTTAAATTTACGAAATGAAAAATGAAAAACATTTTCTCATAGAAAAATCAGAGAATCAATTAATAAAACAAAGAAACCATTCAATCGTATTGTGCTGTAATAATATGAATATATATACACCTGATCATTTATTGGCGAGAGTATGATGACCTTTAAACGACCTTTAATTGGCCTTGAAAAACATTAGCCAATTAGAAAACAGTTTGTATAAAGTATCAATAGATTTGACATGAAGATCGAAGAGTTGAAGTAAGATAGGAACTGACTAATGACAATGACGGATGTATTGCTCAATTTGTGGGTCAGCTGGAATTAGATATTACATTGTTGGATGCCAAGTGAGCTCAGTGGTCTAGTGGTTAAGCGTTCGCGTGTGAGACTGATAGGTCCTGGGTTCGAATTCCGCTGGTGAGGTTGTGGATATGCACTGGTGAAGAGCCCCATAATAGGACGAAATGGTCGTATAGTGTCTTCAGGTTTTCCATGGTTGTCTAGCTTCAGTTGTCTTGTAATCTCAACTATTGAAATGAATACACTTCTTTTACATGGTTCAAAAGCTTGTCAAGGTTAGAAACTCATCCATATGGCTTGCTAATAGTCGACTTCTGGAGCCATGATAAGATAGCAAAAGCTCTTTCAGCCTCAACCACATAGCTTTAATATTGTTCGTGTGTACTCCGGTTGCTGGATCCACAAAATGTCGCTTGTGGAAAACGACACGATGCATATAACCATTCTATGTAGGCATCTTCAATCATCCATATATATTGTATTACCCGGCTGTAGCCAGTGTTACTGGTGCTTTTATTATTCAGTTCGCCTTGGTCTTAATCTGGATCGAGAGAAAAATCCTATTCTAACAGACTTCTTCCTCCAGCACATATTACGTCGAAAGCCAACATCATCAAGGTAGTCCTCACAAGGTCCACAAGGCATTTGATTACCTCATTCACAAATAAAAGAAATTTCTTAGTATTCCTATTTGTTGTAGCCGCTCAATTATCACCTTTTCTCCAAGATCCGCTATGAACTTTTCGTATATGGCACCGTGACCTTGAAATCCTTCAGACGCCTCTGATTGGTTAGTCCATAAATTATAGTCTCGTCATAATAGAATTGTTTGTCGAGAGGAAAATGGAGAGTGTATTCATCTATGGTATCGCAATCGATAATGAATTTTATTACACAAATTCTTCAACCATTAATCATATTTATTACACACGTTAATCAGGCAGTCTACATTTACCAATAAGATTCAGAACTATGAATAAGGACTCTATAAACTAATGTAGACGACTTGATTGAGGTATGTATAATAAATACAATTAATGGTTGGAGAATTTGTGTAATAAAGTTCATTATCACTTGCGATGCCCTAAATGAATACACTGTTCATTTACCTCTCAATCAACAATTCTAGTATTCCTTCATACATACTATCTGTGATAACCTGTTTCTTAATGATATTCACCTATGTCAATGTGTATAGATTGATGACTTTGTATCGCTAGGACTCAAACCCAACATCTTTCACATTAGCTGCTTATGCGATATCCATTTAGCAACTTATTCAAAAAGAGCTAACAACTTATCCAATAAAGATGATGCCGATATAATGATTGATCACAGTTTAAGTTTTGTCAAAACTTAATTTCATTCATTCATTCATTTGAATACAGTTACACTTAGGTGATGAACCTCTAATAAGACGAATTTCACTGATAGCCTTACTCCATCTATTCTTAATAACTTGTAATAAATAACTAGATCTGTTATATTATGTAATCTTTTGCCCCTATGAATATATGATGTTGTGATATCGCCAATTAGAGAATAGTGACTTATCAACCGGACTAGTAACGCATTAATCTGTACAAGCAATCTACAGTCTTTATCAGTCCTTCTTTCTATCTAGCCGCGCCTGTTCGGTCCAGAACATCAATCTTCGCGATATGAATCATGTATTTCGAACATACTGGATTTATATATATTCAAACCAACCAGACCACATCACATCATAAAATAGGACATAATATTCATACAAGATGTAACCAAATATGGCTGTGAATGTGGTAGACAGTAATTGATAGACAGGGAATAATTCAAGAATAGTAAATCGTAGAATAATAATTCATAGGTCAAAATAAAGCTTATGACAAGTGGGACACGAATAGGAATAGTTTAGTGACTTAACAATTATACGATAAAAGTCTATGTATAGTATTAGTTCAGAAATCGATTCCAACAGTTCAGTCAGTTAGTCAGTTACAACGTAGGATTAGGCACATATACGCATCGGTACAAGTTGCCATACCGCATTATCAAAACAAGATGAACACCAGATTCATAAAAGTAGTTAATTCAGTGGTGGTAATATATAAAAGAAAGATTGCAATAGGGATATAGTACAGGAAGATAGAATTAGTTAGTGGAAAGAAAGATATGAAGCGGCTTTAATCTGTTAGTTTAAGGGAAGACAGAGAGTGTATACACCTACACTATTGTGATCGATTCTGAGCCATGTCACACACAGTCCCCAAACATTGATTACGATAGTCACACCGACCGCAAACAAGTAGTCTGGATTTATTAGTCTGGCTCAAACTAGATGTTATAGTCTTCAAGCAATGATCCCACATTTTGGTTTGGCCACACCTAACTTTCTTACAACCATCCAGAACACAGTGCATTGAGTATCGTGGTAATCGATGTTCAGGCATACGTACCACGTTGCCCAACCACCTCAGTCGATGAAGATTCACAACTTCATCAACGGATTTACTATCATCATTCTCTAATACCCTATGTCTAACCTCACTATTACTTACCCGGTGATCCCAGCAGATGAGAGCAATATTTCTAAGATATCTGTGGTCGTTCATTATTCTCATCGAAATATAACAAGATCAAATCAATCCATCGACAATATACATATACTACTAATAAATTATACATGCTACTAATTTATAGTTTGTATTATCTCTTTTTTTCTTATCCAAAAGAATAATCGTATTGACCATTTAGAAAAATTCATTTTAATATTAGCAAATGAATTAATTAAAACCATTAAAACGATTTATCAATTACGTAATCATCCATTAATGATGACAACTATGGTCAATACAACAAATGAATTATGTAACAAATATACAACATCAGATAATGGTAAGTGTAGATTCATGTTAATGTATTATTAATTAAATGATAGGTCCTGGGTTCGAATCTCGTAGGGTGCAGGATCGTGAATGCGCTGTTGATGCACTGTTGAGGAGTCCAATATTAGGACGAAACGGTCATCCAGTGCCTCCAGGTTTTCCATGGTGGTCTAACTTCAATTGACTCATGATTTCAATCAAAATTAAATGATCATTTTATCAGTTTAATTATATTGTGTATTATTGATAAGTATCTATTATCAGAATGAGGGGGGGGGGTTGGGGGCGATTGTAGTAATTTCAATAGTTGAATTCATGAGTCAGTTAAAGTTAGGTCACTATGGAAAACCTGGAAAGACTGAATAGCCATTTCATCCTAGTATGGGACATCTCAATAACAGTACGCATCCAAGATCCCGCCCCGCAAGGTTCGAACCCAGGACCTCTAGACCACTGAACCGGTGTTTAACATTAATCAGTCCATGAAATGACACCTTCATTCACCATTATCTTCCATGAGTTACTTACAACTATTACCATCATTTATCTTATAATCATTAATTCAAAGTATTTCACTTTAAATAAATTACATTATCTTTCTTTCTCTTTCACTATCTCTCTCTTTCACACACACACACACACACTCCTTCTTTTCATCTCTCACTTAAATTTGTTCTATTCAATCTTTCATTCCTTCAACTTTAAATGTTCCGCATTCTTATTCCCGGCAAAATTGAATTTAAAGACAAATTCAAACATCCCAGACTTTTAACAAAAGGAATCCAATCCGATGTAGTTTCAATGATGATGTGAGGGACATTAAGGAATAAAATCGATTACTTTTTTTATAATGTTGAACATTTATGACTGTTACATTTCCTTTTTATTTACATCAATTACGGTGGATAGTTGGAGACAATGAATAATTACATTTTCATTGTGGAATTGTTTGGGACGTTAGATCCCCAGAACTCGGGAAAGAACGCAATTTTGTAATTTTATTTAGAAAATTTGAATTTCTTTGTTTTCGCGTCAAAGGCGCTTTTGTCATCTTCATGTCATATTTCCCACTTGGGAAATATCTTAAATGCTATTGGTCTGTTGCGTCTTTTAGTATGCTATTTGGTAACTCTCCCCAATAACGGTTTTGTACTGTATATATACGTTTTAAATTGTGTTTGTTGTTATCGCTCGTTTCTGGCTGTTTTGCAGAATATACTTCGCCATTCCATGCTTGGACGTCTCCGTTTAGTTAGCGGGGCTGGGACTCAACAAATAGCTAGCTTACCGGTCTTTGGTCACTGAGTCTTTGTTCTCGTTCGCAGATTAAGTGAACTCTTGATAGCTTCAACCCTGGCAGGAATATTCATTTGACTAATCTAAGCAAAGTTTTATTATCGTTATTATTATGACCTGTCAATTCAGTGGTCTACAGGTTGAGCGTTCGCTCTCGAGACTGATAGATCCTGTGTTCGAATCCTGCAAACTGGATCATGGATGCGCACTACTAAGGAATCTCATACTACGACGATACAGCCTTCCAGTGCTGTCAGGTTCTCAATAATGGTCTAGCTTTAATTGATTCATGAATTCAACTATTAAATTATTATAGTCTCCACCAAAACTCCTTCGTCCGAATGTATCGTAGAGACTACTCTATACGAGGATAACTCGCTGATTGACTTTAGTAACAAGATCTAAAGATCTTTCATTTATTCAATTGAGAAGTCAGAAAATATATTTTTCCCCATGCTGCCGCTCAGCTATCCTTAAGTAAAGCAAAAATTTAAAACATGTTCTACCGAAAGCCTTCAGATTCACTAACCGCCGACTGTAACCAATTTCAAGTTCTGTATGCTCATTTAATAAAATCAATAAGTTGCTGAATCCACAACTAATGTCAACTAACACTAATGACTTTCGCATGAGCATTTTGGTCATTCAGTGTGGTGAAACGTATCAGTCAATGCAAGTTCTTTCTGTCCTGAATATATACAATCAGAGAATAATAGTCAATAAATATTCTAAATAAATGACTTAAGAACATGATAATTTGTACCAATCACAGGATTACAGCGTGGTATGAATGATAAATCAATTATGTGCTTGATAATGACTAGCTTTGAGAGTACATTTCCGGAGTCCAAATCACAGCACGTGACCAGTGGAGTTCAGTCGTGTTGGGTATGAGAAAGTTACACATTGAAGACAATAAAAGATCATTATACAATATTATGAATCGATTGAAGTTAGACATTAACACCGTTGACTAAGTGGTCTAGAGGTTATGGGTTGTCACGAGAGATAAAATACTCTGTATCAGACTCCATGCTGCATTACCATGGATACACATTACTGACGAGTTCTTCACTAGGACGAAGTCAGTGTCCAGTACTTCTAGGTTTTTAATGGTTGTCTTACTTGGATCTCTTCATGATCTCAATAAAAATCTGCAATTTAATCATAACTAGGTTGTTTATAGCACACAATTGAGTAATAAATACATGTGATTGAGTATACAATTAATAACATAAAAGTATTCTTACGAATAGAACGAAATGAAACTCACCAACATTTGATTTGTATATTTTGATAGTGGATTAAATTCTAAGAGATCTGTTTTACATTAGACAACCACTGAAAAGTGGAGGGGAGGGGGAACATCATAAAACTATTCTATCTTAATAAGGAACTACAAAACAACGGTGAATATACATGAACCCTCTAAGGATCACGTTTCTCAGTGTACGCTCATCTTATATCACTAAGTGGTCACTCAATAGTGTACATCACGCTCGGAGCCTTCAACCGAAAGGTCTGATCCATAAGACAGTGGAACAACGTGAGGAGATGCAGTTCTATGGTAGCCGGTGATAAACGACTAGTTCATACGTCACTTCCTTTCCAACTCCCCTAGATGGATCATCCATGTCCACCAACCCAGTTATAGCGCTTTTCGTCCTCTTGATTTCGTAAGCAATACCCCACTTTCAGAAGGCAGTGAGTAGGACTGCCCTGTTCAGTGGTTGTATACACATGTCCATGTGAGAGCATTTGTAGAGCGAGAGAGACAGAGAGCTGACTCTCCTCACTCTCGATCGCATAAGGGCATTTGGGGACGACTTAGTTAAAACTATCAGTAATTATTAATTTCCCTCAGGTGAACTCCCCGTATCCGCCAACCCATTTAAAGCGTCGGATATTCAATCCTCCTTCTCTAAAAATAATCTATATTTAACTTTTCTTTCTCTTGTATTTAGTTTACAGTAGATTTTTTGTCGTTGTCGTTTTGTTTTAGATAATCCAAAGTCTACAATAAGTCAAGATAGTTTACATGTAGCTAAAATGAAAGCAGCTGAAATTCTATGTTTATCATTAAATGATTTAGAGAAATTAACATTTCTAGATAAAGATAATCATCATAATGATAAACCCCATCTCACTATTGGCATTAATGATCATGATCCTGATGATCTTGATCATATCGACTTAACAAAAAGTGAACCGATCAATTCATTCAATAATAAAACCAAACAATTCAATCAATCTGGAATTCTTTCAAAATTCACTATGAATTCATATATAGACAATTTAATAAAATGGCCTATACAATGTGAACGATTATTGAAAGATGTAAGTGTCATATAATTCCAATGTTTATTTATCCGGAAATCATTCAACTACTGAATTCAATTTATAAATTTTTATTAAGAATTGTAAAGTATTAGATAAATGTTTTAGAAGGTAAACATGGAATCCCGCGGGCGGGATTGTGGATGCGCACTGCCACAGAGGAGTCCCATAATAGGACGAAACAGCCGTTCAGTGCTTCCAGGTTTCTAAAGGTGGTCTAACATCAATCGATTCATGATCTCAGTCAAAAATGTAATAATCTCCACAACCCCTATAATAGGATACAAGGATAGATAGTGGCTAACAGTGAAATGCATGACATGTGTTTCGTTGTATTTTAGACTTATCGACTTATCTCAAAGTTGATGTTCACTCTAGAACTCAAACTCAGTACCGTTAGTATCAAACGCCATCACATTATGCACTAGGTAAACATAGGACTTTTAGGTTTTTCGACAGTTATAATTTTCAATATTCTTCAATTTCACATTTCACTCATGATATCTGTAATGTCAATCAATGAGGGATATTACCCTGGTCATTTACCAATTTAATTGATGAGATCCTACCTCACACCTAATATTGTTGAGCTGAACTAGTGACAGTTTCTTATTAGAACTCCAGAATTACTTCTCCAAATTAGTCACTAATGAACGAATGATTATTATTAGTGTACATGGTCATGTTTCAATAATTTTTTCTGGTAAGCGTTTTTTTAGCGAGTTAGTTTTTTTCAGGATGCGGCCGCAAACCCCATTGCAAACCTTCTTCCTTTATCCGGGCTCCACTAGGAGTAAAAGGCGTACGTAAGTAAGTAAATAAACATGGTCATGTTGGTAGATACAGACTACTTGTTTAGGGTCCACATGACTATCGTAATCAATGTTTGGAGACTCTGGGTGACATGACTGTAAATCGATCACAATGGCGTCAGTATATACACTTGAACCGATACATATATGTGCCTGGTCTTAAGTTGTAGCTGACTGACTGACAGTTGATATCATAGACAGTTAACCTTATTCATTTGTAAACCCCTATTAAGATGGTGGAGAAGATTTGTAGATCAGGTGGATGATTTTGGTGGAGTTTTGTTCTCTGAGCTGGATGGTTTGGTCGTGGAGCTTTCATCGTTCTTCTGAACGACATCATCAGCACAAACTTCAGATAGAAGTGAAGTGTTTGAATTTCTCGATATGTGTTTCACAGCTTGTTCTGTACACCCCGATGTTGATTGGTTCTTATTGACCTTAAATTTATCATTGTTTACTTCTTTGTTTTGGTTGTGTCTCCCATTGGTTTGATTTTTCTTCCTATATTTATGCATAATTCGAACACTTCACTTCTATCTGAAGTTTGTTCTGATGATGTCGTTCAGAAGAACGATGAAAGCTCCACGACCAAACCATCCAGATCAGAGAACAAAACTTCACCAAAAACCCCTATTAAGTTGAGAAGTAATTTACCCTTATTTTTAATCATTATTTTCATGGATTAATAATTTTCTTCTTCTTCTGTTTTTTTTTCATTTCTTTTTCTTTTGAAAAACTAATCCTTCTAGTATCCTTTTTCAAAGAAGTTAATAGAAGAATTTTCAATGAAATTAAACGATTTAGTTGAGATTGTCACCATATTTTTTGTAAATGAAAAATGTACTACTGAAGAATAGTACTGAACAATTTATATGAGTATTATGCTTGATTATTTCGTAATTAAATTTTTAATATATGAAATGCGTTTTTTTGCCGTATTAATATTTATATTACTAATCAGTAGTTTAAAAATATGTGATAAATTTTATCAACATCAGTTTAGTGACTGACACATGGTTATCGGAAGTACAATAATTTTATGGATAGATGACTGTAATGAAAATGTATTTGTAACAGAGTGGAGAGTTATGGAGACTGTACTATTATAATAGTTGAATTCACAGTTCCATATGACCTAGAATATTATTGAAAACCTTAAGGGCCATTTACGTTATTTTATGGAACTCCTCTTGTACGCAGAACTCGAACCCAGGATAATCGATCTCGGTCGTAAATGCTTAATCAACTGACCACTGAGCCAGCATCCAATGGCGTTAATGTATAACTTCAATCGATCCATGATCTTACTAAACTGTCTCCACCTGGCACAGGTTTGAACCCCGTGTGCAGGATCGTGAATGAACACTTTTGAGGATCTCCATACTAAGACGAGACGGCTGTCCAGTGTTTCCAGGTCTTCAATCGTGGTCTAACTTTGACTGACTTGTGAATTCAACTGTTAAAATACTACGATCTCCAAAATCCTGATTCTTAGAATTTTAAAATACTTATAAAGATTTGTAATTTAGTCCGTTTCTCGTGGAAGTATCAACTGATGATGTTGTTAAGATCAACGACGAAATCTTCATTATAAACCTATTGATCTTAGCGATTACAACAGTGTCAATATGCAACAGATAATGCAATACTTTTTAGTGTCTTTATGAAGACTATACAAAAACGTATTAATTTCACATATGCATACTGTTTTAGGACAAAGTTGTCGAAATACAGAGTTATGATTCCCTGATCATGTGAATGAAATGTACTTTAGAACTGTTTAAATATTTGAATATCTTTCAGGAGACTTATGTACTTGATAATATATTTTTCCATTACATTTAAACTGTAAAAGATGATTAATAAAAGCATCTGAATTAAAGCAACTGTTGGATGCTGGCTCAGTGGTCTAAAGACCGATAGGTTGTGGGTTCGAATGCCGTGAGTGGGATCGTGGATGTGCACTGTTCAAGAGCCCCATACTAGGATGAGACAGCCATCCAGTGCTTCCAGGTTTTCCATGAAGGTCTAGATAAATCAATTTATTCTTCATTATTGATTCCTTAGTCAGCCATAAAGAACATTGAATCTGATATACAAAAAAAATGCGTCGATTCAAGTTGATATCCTTTACAGCACAGAAACATGATGCATTCAGGAAGAATACTTAAGTAGTAGAAGTGATAGTAGTATCAGTGATCACACAAGACACTTATAGATAATAGGATATCAGACGAAAGAATGAATCTGTAAAGTAAGAAGTCTAAGGTTATCCAAAAAGTCAAGAAGGAAAGAAATCAGTGAATCCATTATCGCCATTCTGAACACTTCTCAATCATATCATTGCTAAGAATCCTAGTAATCATTCTACACTTTCCAACACGGTTCAATTCAACAATTATTAACTTTATGAACTGATTCTACATGTTGGATTGGATTTACCTTATCTAGTTTTCATTAGTATACAAGTTCAACGTGACTTTCATCATCATCTTAACTTGATTAGTACTGTGAGTATAATGACATACTGCTGACAAGGTGTTTAGTTTAACATCCAACAACATTATTTTTATATTATAGGAAATCTTTAGAGTGATACTGTGCTGATTGTGGTAATTTAATAGTTCCATTCATGATTCGATTAAAGCTAGACAACTATAGAAAACCTGAAAGCATTGGATAGCCGTTTCGTTCTAGTATGGTACACTTTTTACAATGCGCATCCATAGTCCCGTTCCGCGAGATTCGAATTCAGGACCTATGGTCTCGAGTGTCAACGACTAACGTTCATAATAGTAAGCCGGCAATCAACGATGTTAATGTCTAACTTCAACAAATCCGAGAAATCGCGCCATCAAAGCTCCTGGGTTCCAATCCCATGGGCACTGCTGAGTAGTCCCATACTCAGACGAAACGGCCTTTCAATGCTTCCAGGTTTTCTGTGGTGGTCAACTATGAAAGTAAAAATGATTTACAATTTACCAAGGTTTATTAATTCTTCCCTAAATGTATGAAAATGTCTCATTGCATGACAAACAAATTGTCCAACTTTTTATACATATATTATATCAGAAGGGGTTTTGTGGAGATTTTAGAAATTTCACTGATTGAAATCATGAGTCAAATGAAGCTAGATCACCATGGAAAATCTGGAAGCACTGGAAGGCCGTTTCTTCTTAGTGTGGGACTCCACAGCAGTGCGGATCCATTATCCCACACCTCGCAAGATTTAAACCCAGGTAATATTATCGAAATATATAAGTAGTATATACAGTTGATGATTAAGGTTAGGAATTAGATTTAGAGTTTTCATCACGAATTGACATTAGCGACAATGTCAAAACTCTGTTTAATCAAATGGATAAATGAATTTCACGCCAAAATTCGAGATCGGTTATGTTATACACCTGATTCCTTCGACTATAAACTATAGTCTTGCCATTATTTGTTAAATATCTTGTAAGTTGTTAGAAATCAAGAAAATTGGGCGGCAGGAGGGGGAAATATCAATAAACAAGGAATATAACTAAAAATAATGTACCATTCAAATAACCGTTTAGTTACTAAGGGAACTCAGTATGCTCTTTTTTTCAGAAAGAAACATTCTTTATTCAAACATTAACTTGATAAGAATAGTTTCTGTGATGTATTAAGTATAATCAACTGGATATCGGTTATGGAAAAATGAATAGAATGATTATGATACCTGAAAAAGAAAAGAAAGAAAAAGAGAGAAACATTATTTGAGACAAGATGATGCATCTGTTTATCATCATTGGTTGTATGAACATTCAAGGTATCTGTAAAAAGGCCTGTAATATATATATATATATATATATTAATCCATCATGAATGTAGAATTGCCAGAATTCTAAAGCTTCAATGATTAATTGATCAACCGATATGTCATTGGGGTGCCTAGTCTGTTGTATGCCATGATAATGTTCGCATAACTTTCCAGTTGCCTGATCTGCCAAAGGCAATGGGACAGTGCATGATGCTATTGTTTTGTACTAGGTTCAAATAGAATTGTTTGCTATATACATGCGAATCCGCCCAGTTATTGTGTTGTGTGGCTCTTTATTTTCTCGTTATTTAGATCGAACGGTGTTGTCGAAAGGATCCTTCACTTTAGTGGCCCGGGATCTGATTCCAAAGTGATTGTAATGATGATTGTTGTTGAAATATATATGTCGCCTATCCTCGTGTATAATCATCGACTTAAATCGCGTTAATCAATAACGGAATTAAATAAGTCAACAAACGAGAATAGACTTTTGGATACATATATTTTGTATATGAAGCGAATAGAATAAAGAGAAGAGAAACAACGCAGAGTGGAGATGGCTGGGAAGCCAACTCCCCTTTTGATCAAGCGTTAATCAACATTTATAGTTACATAAAAGTAAGTTACAGATACGTGATGAGTAATGGGATAAGAAATGTACACACACCTATGCGCTCATATAAAAACAGTCAGGATTGGATAAGCGAATAAATAACAAGATCAGAATGTGACTCAAGTAGAATGAATAGAATGGTCTGTCCGTAAGGTAGAATAAGGTATATGGGCTTAACATAATAACTGACGCTACAATTGTTCTTATTGCTGTTGATATGTCATAATGAACATATTATGTTAGTTAACAAGGGAGTTAAAATAGAAATATAAGATAAAAAAAAGCCAAATTAGTTAGGATATTGATCAAAGTAAATGTGTGAAGAAAGGAAACATGATTGTAAACGAGAACAACAACAACTAATTAGATAGAACAAACTATTTATCATTCATTTGGTGTTGTTTTGCTTGTATCTTTCTGCAGTGAACATCAGCTCTGAGATAGATTTTAATTGCGATCATGAACCGATTGATGTTAGACCACCATTTGAACCCAGGAAGCACTAGATGGTCGTTTGGTCTTACTGTGGGATTCTTCAGCAGTGCGCATCCATGATCCTGCTCAAAGGATTCGAGCTCAGGGCCTTCTGTCTCACGCGCAAACGCTTAACATTTAGACTACCGATCTAACGGTGTTAATGTCTAAGTCCAACCAATCCACGAAATTGCGCGACCATCTTCCAATGTACTGAGGTAGATACCTTTGTCTACCCGACACGGAGCTAATATCCGCAACCCTATACTGATAATTACCATGTGCTCAGTAGTCAATAGCTTCGTGAGGGAATTCTCGGAGTTCTAGTGAGAAGCCGTGAACAGTGGAGCTAATCCATGTTGTGTAGAGACAGGTATCTACTTCAGTGCATTGGAAGATGATCGCACAATTTCGTGGATTGGTTGGAGTTAGACATAAAAACCGTTAGACGCCGGCCGGATCGGTGGTCTAGATGTTAAGCATTCGAGCGTGAGGCCGATTATGTCCTGAGTTCGAATCCAGAGAGGCAGGATCGTGGATGCGCCCTTCTGAGGAGTCCTATACTAGGACGAAGTGGCCGTCCAGTTCTTCCATGTTTCCCTTGGTGGTCTAGCTTTGACTGACTCATGATCTCAACTATTAGAATTACTACAATATCCAAAAATACCCCTTCCGATATATATATGCTAAGACTATCTATTACTCACCTATAAAAGAAGAATATGTCAAGTTGATTCTTCTTTACGTTTAATGTAATTTGTACATTTCACTTCACAAGCTAAAATATCAATATATAAATAAATATAAAAGTAATTGGAATGATTAATGTAGTAACAGTGATAAGCAATGAATAGCTAAATGAGTAGTTACGGAGGTAATTTACTTGTAATGCTACGATGGGGATTGATGAGTTTATCATATTTTTTCCTGGGTGATAAACAGCTGAAAGTTTGCTTACCTCAAACATTCACGTTATTACACTAATAAAAGAAAGTAGTATAGGTTCGAGTCCCGGAGTAAACGTCAACCCCGGGATGCAGACACAGCCGGTTGACGAGTCACAAATAGGGCAAAACACCCATCATGGATTTCAATTCTAATCACCATCTATTTTTGTTGATAATAAAAGTAGTAAGGCTCAGAGTAACGTAATTTTGATTATTTTCTTGATTAACTGGAACACAAGTTAGGGTCAGATGTTACCTTTTCTTCCACCTTCACTGGTCAAACCATATTTGTGAATTACTCGATAAAAAAAAGTTGGTTATGTGGCTGATTGTGACGAGAAAATCCTCTTCAAGATACATTCTTTCATCTTATTTACTCAGCTACAATTACCATAAAGTCTGGTAACCATGTTTGGTATCCTAAGTTGCCATATGAAATCAGTACAACAGAATCCAAATGAAATCATCATAACAGTCAACATAATGCAAAAAAAACTGACCAATTGTAGTACAGGTCCCAAAAGATGGTGTGGAATCGCGCATATCAATGATAGTGAAATTCTAAATCTAAAGAAAGATTACTAATAAATACATTAGGTCATTAATAGTGGATTCTCATATACTGTCTTCTTTTGCCTTCTCAACTGAATATGACCTGTGGTTATCGATTAAATAAGTGTACTGTTTATTAGATAACTGATATATGTTTGAAGCGGAATCAGTGCTTGAAGTCACTAATTTTTAGTTTGAGCCATGTTGGTGGTAGATGCAGACTACATGGTTGCGACCCGCATAGCCAATCATTGGAGACTCTGTGTGACATGGGTCAAAATCGATCACAACGGTGTAGGTGTATACACTCTTTATCTTCCATTAAACTGTGAGAACTAATTATTTCTTCCTGTACTATATCCTGATATGCAATCTTTGTTTTATATGTTACTGCGATTGAAGCAACTACTTCTAAGAATTCGATATTCATCTTATCGTGTTAATGAGTTATGGCAACTTGGACCGATGTATCTGTGTGCCTGGTACTACATTGTAGCTGACTAACTGAGATTATATTACTTACTTACTTACACCTGTTACTCACAATGGAGCATAGGTCGCTGACCAGAGTTCTCAAACCCACTCTGTCCTGGACCTTTTTTTTAGTTCCATCCAATTCTCGTTCATTTTTCTCATGTCTATCTCCATTTCTCGGTGTATTGTGTTCTTTGATCTTTCTCTCCTCCTTTGACCTTGAAGATTCCACGTGAGGGCATTTTTTTTTACTCAGTTGGGTGCTTTCCCCAATGTGTGTCCTATCTACATCCAACGCTTCTTCCTGATTTCTTCCTCCACTGGAATCTGGTTTGTTCTCTCCCAGATTAGGTTGTTGCTAATAGTGTCCGGCCAACGGATCCGAAGTATTTTACGTAGGCAACTGTTAATAAACACCTGTATCTTTCGGATGATGGCTTTCGTAGTTCTCCAGGTTTCCGCTCCATACTGTGTTGACATTTGTATTGAAAATCCTGACCTTGGTGTTGGTTGACAGAGAGTTGATTTGAGTTCCAGATGTTCTTCAGTTGTAACTATGCTGCTCTTGCTCTTCCGATCCGCGCATTCACATCTGCATCAGATCCAACGTCTTCATCAATGATGATGCCCAAATATGTAAAGGTTTTTACATCTTCCAAATCTTCTCCGTCAAATGTGATTGGATTGGTGCATTCTGTGTTGTATCGGAGAATCTTGCTTTTCCCTTTGTGTATATTGAGACCTACTGCTGCTGAGACTGCTGCTACACTGACATTATATGCCATAATATAAATCTCCATAGAAACAATTAACCTGAACTAGATCTACTCACACAATAGTTTTCTATTTGATTTCCTGTTTTTGCAAAAAACAATTACAAACATCTCACTAACCTGATTCTTCTTTACCATATCGATAACTTTCTTTTTCACATAATACATTACATGTATGGGGTGGAGCTGTGAAGAATTAAATAAAATAGGATGATTGTTTTGAAAATCTAATCTAACGTAAGTTTTTTCATCAGTATTAATACAATAAATGCGTTAATTATGAGAACTGAACACCCGCAGCCTTTGACCAAAAGGTCTAATCCACAAGACAGTGTGAAGTAATTTCGGGAGACGCAGTCCCATAGTAGTCGGTGACCAACAATAGGTTCATATACCATTCGTTCCATCAGGATTCTGGAACCCATATGCACTATTGGTTCGGAATCAGAGTTTTCGAACTCCCCTATGTGGATCCTCCATATCCACTAACCCAGTTAAAGCGTCGGACTTTCACTTTTCGTCCTCACAATTTCTTAAACAATATCTTTGCAGTGAACAGGACTTCCCCGACAGCGGCAGTATACGCGTGACCATGTGGGAGCATTTGGACAGGGAGAAGTGATCCACCCGACGCTCGGTCGTATCAGGACGTACCAGGAGGTTATACTGTAAGGGGTGCTACTTACAAGGATTATCCTATGTAGTATGTGGCTGAAGGTGGCATCGAAATTGCAATAATTATGAAAACTTGCAGTGCATTCAAAGCATAGCGTTAGCATAGTAAAAGCTATTATTCATATTCTGGACTCAATAGGCAGGGCTAGACAGGAAGAAGGACCGATAAAGACTTCAGACCACTCATATCGGTGGAACGTCATTGGTTTGTCACAGTGCCAAGATTGTATAAATCGTAGTTCGATTGGTGAATAAGTCACATAATAATTAGCTTGACTTAAAGTCACGACAAAATATTCTCCATATTGTTGAAAATAATATTTTATGAAATCAAAAATTCAAGTAGGTGGATGCGCACTGCTAAGGAGTCCCATACTACGACGAAACGGCCGTCCAGTGCTTCCAGGTTTTCCATGGTGGTGTAGCTTCAATTGACTCATGATTTCTCAACTATTGAAAGTTCAAAAAGTTTATCTGCAAGACTATAATTTGTGGACGAACCAATCAGATATAAAATAAAAGGTTTTGGATTTAGGCGCGAAATTCATTCAACCATTTAGCATGAAAACTCTAAATTTACTTCTTACCCTAATCATCGACTACAAATGTTAATCCTTATTCCTTCAACATGTTTATAACCCTCATCTAGCCGTGGTATGTAGGCGAACATTCTGAAGGTCATTTGAACGTCACTCAAAGGTCGTTCATCACTCGACTGGTTATCATATTTAGCATATTTGTATCCTAATGAAAACTGTCACAATATAACACACATTTACATTGAATACATGGTATGTCAGGTATATGTGACCTGTCAGATAATTTGACAGTGTTTCTTGAAACGAAACACCAATTGTCAATGTTTATTACATAATATTATGAATACAATATACATAAATGTTATAAGCAAAGATGGATAGTGGCTAGCAGTGGAATCCAGGACGCGCACTTCGTCCTGTTTGGGACTCGTCAGTTTGGTGTACCTGCATCTCAGAGTTGATGTTCATTCTGGGACTCGAACTCAGTATCGTTCGCTTCAAACGCCATCGCTTTATCCACTTAGCTACTGAGCCCTGATAGCCACTTACTTGTAAACAATATCAAGTGAATTATACATAAATGTGTTTATATTATCATAAAAATAATGTTGAATGTTACTTACAATCTTTTCCAGGTGGTCCGATTGGACCAGGGGGACCTAGAATGAAAACAATGAAATAATAATGATGATTTTGTCAAATCTCTCTAGGCGGAATCATGTATATACACTACCGAGGAGTCCCATACTAGAACGAAACGGCCATTTAGTACTTTCAGGTTTTCCATCGTCGTCTAGTTTTAAATGATTCATGATATCAACTACTGAAATTACTATAATCTTCACAAAAACTCCTTCCCATATTATAACAATATTTGTCAGGAGTATTAGTCCAATAAGACAAAAACATTTGATAAACCAGTGTACTTCTCTATGGTTAGTTTCTTTCTGATACTAAGTAACATGCATAAAGTAAAAAGAGTTCACGGTGAGACTATAATTTATGAACGAACCTATCAGACCCAATAATAACAAGTCTCAGATTTTGTTGCAAACTTTATTCATCCATCTGGATAGATAGTGATCTTGGCAGTTTAGCTGATGTCAGTTCATGATGAAAACTGTAAATCTAGTTCCTAACCCTAACTATCAATTGTAAATCATAATTTTAATTCCTTACACTGCTTTATCATCATCATTTATTCTCAGCTGATAGGTGAACATTCTCAGGATCATTTTAACGTCACTTTAAAGTCGTCCACAAAGTATAATCTCATCGAGGTCACTTCAAATGACTTCATCTTGGAGTTTTTCTCATTAAGTAGATCTGTAGTGAATACGAACATAAATGAGGATAATCAAATGTATTTGAGTACAGAATCACTTAGTTAAATCTGAGAACCATACAGTAAATCCTTCATTTGTAAAATGTTAATCAATCGTCTCAAACTTCATTGTTCTTTCATTTCCACACCAATCATTCTCTGTTCTCATTCTCTTTTATTCAATCTTCTTAACCATCTACCACCAGATATTTCGATTGATTATACATACTACTTATAACTATCAATATCAGTAGCATATATAAATCCTTATTATAAAACAAAATAAACTTCGAATTACATAAAAATAATAGAACTTTATTTAGATCAGTTCAATGAATCTCTCAGAATGAATATCCCAAACTATTCACGGTAAAGAATGTTCAACTTTTTAAAAAAAGACAGTCGATTTTATTACTTAATGTCCCTCACATCACTATTGAAACTACATCGGATTACATTCCTTTTGTTTAAAGTTTGGAATGTTTGAATTTGTCTTTAAATTCAATTTTGCCGGGAATAAGAATGCGGAACATTTAAAGTTGAAGGAATGAAAGATTGAATAGATCAAATTTTTGGTGAGAGATGAAAAGAAGGAGTGTGTGTGTGTGTGTGTGTGTGTGTGTGTGTGTGTGTGTGTGTGTGTGTGTGTGTGAAAGAGAGAGAGATAGTGGAAAAAATACTTTGAATTAATGATTATAAAATAAATGATGGTAATAGTTGTAAGTAACTCATGGAAGACAATGGTGGACAGAGGTGTAATTTTGTGGATCGATTAATGTTAGACATTAACACCTTTGGATGCCGGCCAGCTCAGTGGTTTAGGGGTTAAGCGTTCACGCGTGAGATTGAAAAATCCTGTATTAGAATCCTGAGGGCGGTATCGCGGATGTGCACTGCTGAGAAGCCCATACCGGGACGAAACGGTCATCCAGTGCTTGCAGGTATTTCATGGTAATTTAGCTTTAATTGATTCACGAATTCAACTATTAAATTACTAAAGTCTCCATAAAGCCCCCCCCCGTTCTGATAATATTTGTCATTTAATAGCCAACGTCAACGCACAACCTGGCATATATGATCGGTGAACCTGTTATTATGATCGGCTTTCTTTGTCTACACGAACGGGACATTAGTTTGCTTGAGACGAATATCTCCATTAGATTCCCTCTCAATGTCTATATTGACTCAGATCAAGAACACGTGGTTAGCCTGATTAGAATATAAGTATATTCTACACCAAAAACCTACAACAATCCGATATAATCCAAAATCAATCAACAAAAATCATAAGGATAGAAGAATATATAACTCATTTAACTCTTGTTAGACTACATACTAGTCTGACTAAGCAAACAACTAATCATTATCATCCTCACTTATAAATCAGGCCTAAATTACTATATTATATTATTGCAACAAGATGAACTGAACAAGAGATGGTTACTGATTATGCTTGGAATCTTGGATACGTTATTAGTCCTATTTGAGACTCATCAGTTGAATAGGACGAAATGTGTGTCCTGAATTTCATTGCTATCCATTAACCATCTCTGCTTATACTGCTTATGGCTTAATAGCGACATTGAAGCAATTCTCATTGGATATAGATATGTCGAACGAGACTGACCAATTGTAATGCTGAACATCAATGAAAGAATTCAAAAAACAAACTTCATAAGCATTTATACATTTATTGTTGTTTACTGTATAGATTTTGCTTATAGTAACGCTTACGCTTAGAAAACGTTTGTTTGTGTATTGTTCGGTCCTGATTATTTGGTTTACAGTTTAAGGATACATATTGGAAATTGAGCAGGCTGAGTTCGACCACTGGTGATTAGATTATTACTTGCTTACTTACTACCTTACGCCTGTTATGTCTTGTGGAAGAGAATAGGCCACCCACCAGCAATCTCTATCCAACCGTGTCCTGGGTATGGTGAAAGCCGAGTTCCTTCGGAAGTCAAGAGGCCGATGCTCCTTCTAACAATTAGAGCAATAATTTTTATAGATACATGGGACATCCGGATAATGTGGTTGGATTGTGAATGAACATTGTTAAATCGTTCTGCACTAGGACGAAACAGCTGTCTAGTGCTTGTTTATTGCAAATGATAGTCTAAATGAGATTACTTTGTGATGTTAAATATATTCGAAAACTTCTATAAACATGTATTGACAAAATACTTTGTATTGAATACTTTATATTGCACTTAATCGACTTGATCATGAAGACGTCAACATCTGAAGGGAAACGCGGGATACAGTTGACAGTTAGGATGGAGCTGGACGACTTAGACTTCCCACATTATCTGGGTCTTCTATCTCACACGCAAGAACCAATGCAGGAGAAAGCGACCAGTGTAGCAGCAGCCTCAGCAGCAGCAGGTTTCAGTATACACAAAGGTGAAAGCAAGATTCTCCGATACAACAAAGCATGCAACAATCCAATCACACTTGACAGAGAAGATTTGGAAGATGTAATAAGCTTTACATATTTGGGCAGCATCATTAATGAACATGGTGGATCTGAGCGGATCGGTAAAACAATAGCAGCATATTCACAACTGAAGAACATCTGGAACTCAAATCAACTGTCTGCCAACCAACATCAAAGTCACAATTTCTAATACAAATATCAAAACAGTTCTATTGCATAAGAGGGAAACCTGGAGAACTACGAAAGCCATCATTCGGAAAATACAGGTGTTTATTAACAGTTGTCTACGCAAAATACTTCGGATCCGTTGGCCGGACTCTATTAGCAACAACGTACTGTGGGAGAGAACAAACCAGATCCTAACGGAGGAGAAAATCGGGAAGAAGAGCTGGAAGTGGATAGGACACATATTGAGGAAAGCAGCCAATTACGTGAAAACCATACGTTCAATGCTTTATTTGCAAATTATTCATCAACTCGCTCAAACTTCATTGTCTCTTCATTTCCATAACCATTATTCACTGTTCTCGTTCATTTCAATTTGATCTTCCTAACCTTTTGTTGCCAAGTATTCCATAACTGACGGGTGTTATATGCTACTTATATCGACATCATAAGTAGCATATAACGCAATAATATTGATTAATGCAATTATTATTTTTATACTATCATTATCATAATTAGCTTAAATTTCCCAAAGTATCATTTAATCAAACTCACCTTTTGGACCTTGAAGACCAATTAATCCACGTAGACCAGGTGGTCCTTGTGGTCCTGTTTCACCTGTGTGTTGTTTTTGGGGAAAAAGAAGCACAATATTAAAGTGAATAGAATGATCTTTATTATTTTCTTAAATAATTATGAATCACTTCCATGATTGAGATGGATTCCCCTAACGACAACAACAACAATAAAAAATCAATTACCAACTCTCATAGCAACTTATTTTAGTTCCTATCCAATATTGTATTACAAGAAGCTTTGTTTTGAGTTCCAGTTTGACGTAAGAAAAAAGAAAAAAACATCTAAGGTCGGAAGAGGTTTTGTGGAGATTGTAGTAATTTGAATAGTTGAAATCATAAGTGAATTGAAGATAGATCACCATGGAAAACCTGGAAGCACAGGACGTCCGTTTCGTCCTATTGTGGAACTCCTCAGCAGTGCACATACACGATCTAACGGTGTTGGATGTCGGCCTAGTCATCTAATGGTTAAGCGCTCGCACGCAAGACTGGTAGGCCCTAAGTTCGAATCCTGCGGTGGGCGGGATCGTGGATGCGCACTACCACTGAGGAGTCTTACGGTAGGATGAAACGGCCGTTCAGTGCTTCCAAGTTTTCCATGGTGGTTTAGCTTCAATTGACTCACGATTTCAACTATTGAAACACTTGAAATGTAAATTGTAGGCAGTCGATAGGAAACCCTAAACGATCTAGGTTTCTTGTCATATGGCACTCTTCAGCAAGATATACTGAATTGATAGGGAAATTTTATACTTTTGCTTGTGTGAATAGATTTTGATGTGTTTAAGTCTTGTCTTATCAGAAGATATATAAGAATAAAGATACGAATGAAGGGGATGGTTAGTATCTGAGAAGATAACACCTTCCAGGAGTTTGCAAGACCGTAACTGTCTATCCATAACCATATGAATAATGATCTCAAAAGATTCATCACACCCACCTTGCTAACTGCCTTCAACACTCTCCGCAATACAGCAAAGTCTTTTCTCAAACGCCCGGGAAAGAATAATGGAGAACAATAAAGAATAATAGGTAATATGCAAGAATTGACAAATTGTAAGAGTAAATGACGAGTAATCCCAAGAGTATGCAATCTCTTTATGTAGTAGGTCAGACGAAGAACCTTCTTCGAAAACAATAAAACGTGAGAAGATCAAGAGAGATCAGAGGAAAAGGTAACACCAAGATAATCGACTTTCGACACTGTGTTTATCAAAGAGTCCCCAATGGCGCAAGCATTATGGGATCTCAAAATGATGTTTAGATTCTGTTCATGTCTCATGCTAAAGTTAACAGCTTGACATTTGGACGGATTAAGTATGAAACCATTACCAACAGACCAACAATCAATACGAGACAAAACCTCATTCATTTCTATGGGATGTAAAGAGGAAGAGATAGGTATACATACATTGAAATCATTCACATATATCACAAAAGTGTTTTCTGTGGAAGATGACAGATCATGCAGAAAAAAAAGGAGAAAAGAAGAGATGAAAGAACAGTTCCTTGTGGTACAACTTCATGAGATAGATAGAGACGTTGAACACTTTCCTTCAAACACAATGTATTGTTCTCTTTCAGAGAGGTAGGAACATAACCGATTGATAACCAGTAACATTAAACATACTACATAGTAATAGTGTAAGTGGAGAGACTAGAGTTTATAGACGACCTTTGAGTGACGGTGAACTGACCATGAGAGTGTCCACGTAGAAACTACGACCAAATGATGGTTATAAACCAGTGTGAGGAATTCGAATTATGATTTACAGTTGATGGTTAAGGTCAGCAATTAGATTGAGGTTTTTCTTTATGAACTGATATCAGCTATAATACCAAAAATCTATTTAACCAAATGGATGAATGAACTTCCTGCCAACATTTTTTTTACTTACTTTAACACAGATATTGGTACAAGGAGGCACCAAATACATATGCACCACACAAATCTCATTTGATATGAGTGAGGGCTGTTATACTGCCCGGGTGCCCAAACCGAAGCACGTGTTTTTCTCAGGGGGCCACACACGGAGCCTCCGACTTGAAGGTCTGATCCACAAGGCAGTGAAGCAACGTAAGGAGATGCAGTCCCATGGTAGCCGGTGACCAACGATCGGTTCATCCGCCATTTGCTCCTTCAGGATCGTGGAGCCCGTGTGCACCAATGGATTGGAATCAGGGTTTTCCAACTCCCATAGGTAGACTCTCCATGTCCATTAACCCGGTTAAAGCACCGGGCTTTCGTTTTTCTTCCTCTCAATTTCGTAAACAACATCTGTGGTGCGGGAAACAAGTGAGCCGGACTTCCCTGGCAGAGGCTATATAGTCGTGACCATGTGAGAGCATTTCGAGAGGGAGAACGAACTCTCCCCACTCTCGGCCGTACCAGGGCATTTGGGGGCCATCTTTTATCTGATTGGTTTCTCCATAAATTATAGTCTCGCCCATTTTCATATTAGTTGATACGAGATTCAAAAATTAGTAAGCAAGTAGTATTTTATATGGTAATGAAAAAGTTTTAAAAAATTGATCAATAAAATAAAATCTATTTACACTTGATACCTTGAGGTCCTCGTTCACCTGGCGTACCGGGTTGACCTGGTGGTCCAGGTGGTCCTGGAATAGTGAAAAAAAATAAAATTTATCAACTTAGATTTTATAAATACAAGGAATTCGTGGAGATTGTAGCAGTTTGACCGTTTGAATCATGAACTGATCTTAGTTAGACCACTAGAGAAAACCTGGAAACAGTAGAAAGCTGTTTCGTCCTATTGTGAAACTCCTTAGCAGTGCGCATCCACGACCCCAATCAAGGAATTCGAACCTAGGGCCTTCGGTCTCGCTTGAGAACGCCTAACCTCTAGATCACCGAGCCGGCATCCAGCGATGTTAATGTCTAACCTCAACCGATCCACGAAATTTTGCGACCATCTCCCATTGCAATGAGGTAGATATCTATTTCTACCCGACACGGATGAGCTACACTCTTCACAGCTTCTCACTAGAACTCCGAAATGTCCCTCATGAAGCTACTCACTAATGAACACATGGTAATTATCAGTTTAGGAGTTGTAGAGATTATTAAGTTTTTGACTGAAATCATGAACCGATTGATGTTAGACCACCATTGAAAACTTGAAAGCATGAAATGGCCATTTCTTTCTGAAAAGAAAATTTTCAGCAGTATTAATCTAAAATCCCTCAAGTGGGACTCGAACGCAGACCTTTCGGTCTTGTACTCAAACGCTTAATCATTAAACCATTGCTTCTGATGTCAAATGGTTTACATTCTTAAGTCTTCGATTTATTCCTGTTATCTAGTTATCTGGATTCAGTAGCTCAGAAATTTACACATTGGGCATCTCAGTGTGAATACAAACATGAAAGCGTAGGTTCATACAGCTGAAGAGCCCGAAATAATAATAAAAATAATAAACATTTAACTATCCATCTTTACATAACTAGTATGATGGAACGTTTATAACTGTTTAATTCATCAGTTGTTTTAAGATATGTGAAATGACTCTGACGATGGTATACGTTGTGCATTGAATAAACACAGATCTATAAAATAATCAGATCATAGAAAGGTAATCAATGGAAAAATAGAAAACTGTTTGAACAATTCGAGGTTCATTTCTGTCCTTGACAATACTTTCCAGTTGTCATCAGTTACTTATCATCCTTTTGATGTTTGCTTCTAACTCTCAACGCAGTGTATACTTCGGCCTTTCTTTTTACCGTTTCCCTTCCGAATACCAGGTAAGCGCTTGTCTCATGATACAGTTTGGTGATTTCCGTAATGTATATCCTATCCGCTTTCAGCGTTTTCTCTTAATTTACTCTTCATTTGAAAGCTGGTTTGTTTTCATTAAATATCGCTAACTTTATAATTTACTTACACACTTATGCCTGTTACCCCCAATGGAACATAAAGTCGCCGTCCAGCATCTTGAACACACTCTATGCTGAGTTTCCATTTTAGTCCTATCTAATTGTGGTTCATTCGTCTCGTCTATCTCCATCTCCCAACGTAATGTGTTCTTTGGTCTTCGTCCCTTCCTTTGGCTTTGAGGATTCCATGTGAGGGCTTGTCTTGTGGCGCAGTTGGGTGCTTTCTCAATGTGTGTCCTATCCACTTCCAACGCTTCTTCCTGATCTCCTCCTCCACTGGAATCTGGTTTGTTCTCTCCCAGTTAGGTTGCGCTGAGAGTGTCTGTCTAGACAATTGATCCGAAGTATTTTG